GAATAGAATAGAATAGAATGGAATAGAATGGAATAGAATAGAATGGAATCAGGAATAGAATAGAATAGAATTCAGGAATACAATAGAATAGAATTCAGGAATAGAATAGAATTGAATTCAGGAATAGAACAGAATAGAATCAGGAATAGAATAGAATCAAGAATAAATAGAAAAGAATAAGGGATAGAATAGATTAAGGGATAGAATAGAACAGAATAGAATATAGAATAGAATAGAATAGAATAGAATAGAATAGAATAGGGACCTTGGAGGACTTCTAGTCCAACCCCCTGCTTAGGCAGGAAACCCTACACCACTTCAGAGAAATGATTATCCAACTTCTTCTTAAAAACTTCCAGTGTTGGAGCATTCACAGCTTCTGGAGAGGCCAGGCGTTCCACTGATTTCAACCATGACTTCAACAGTGATTCAGCTGCTGTTTATTTGCAATTTTGACATTGGTTTCTATTTTCTTCTCCAGGGCCGATCTGGTCCCCATTTACTCCTTTGGGGAGAACGAAGTCTTCAAACAGGTCATATTTGAAGAGGGCTCCTGGTGCAGGTGGCTACAGAAGAAATTGCAGAAGTATATTGGCGTAGCTCCGTGTGTCTTCCACGGACGGGGGGTCTTCTCCTCCAACAGCTGGGGGCTGGTGCCTTACGCCAGGCCCGTGACTACTGTCGGTAAGTGGGAAAAGAGAGATTCCTAGTGTCGAGAGAGGAGAATGTCTGTAGCTTGCGGTTGAACTGGGGGGGATCCTTGGTGCTCTCTGAGCTTGGTGGGTTTTTTGCGAACGTTTCATTACCCAACTAGGTAACATCATCAGTGCTAGAAGGGAGGTGGGTTTGTGGAGAAGAAGAAAGGGAGGAGGAGGAGGAGGAGGAGGAAAATGACTGTGGGTTCCTTGGTGCTTTCTGAGCACAGTTGTTTTCTTGCAGACAATTTCATTACCAAACTAGGTACCATAATCAGTATCAGTGAGGGAGGATTATGGAGGAGGAGAAGGAGAAGGAGGAGGAAAAAGAGGAGAAGGATTAGGACTGTGGGGTCCTTGCTGCTCTCTGATCTTGGTTGTTTTCTTGCAGACATTTCATTACCAACTAGGTAACATCATCAGTGCTAGTAGGCGATGGGGTTTGCTCATATTCTAGTGCAATTCTTGTAGATTGTAAACAGAGAGAAAACCCACTTTAGGGGCTAACCTGTCTTTCCGTGGTCGGTCATGTCCCCTTCTCTCTTTTGCCTTCCAGTCGGCGAGCCCATCACAATCCCCAAAACCGACAACCCGAGCCAGAAGGAAGTAGACTTTTATCACAGCCTGTATGTACAGTCTCTGGCGAAACTCTTTGAGAAGTACAAGACGAAATTCGGCCTGTCGGAGGCGGAGACGTTGGAGATCAACTGACGCGGCACCCGCGCGACGGCGCTTGCGGTCTTGAAATTTGCTGGTGGGCTTGGAAAAACTGGCGCCAAAAGAGGCTCTTTGTGCCAGTCCTATTGTTTTTGTCTTCTGCTCTGTGGAATTGGGGGATCGAGCAAGGATCTGTAGAGAAGATAAAGGAATATTGTCTAAATATTCAAAGATTAGATCTCTCTAAGAGCCAGTGTATGGTTGGGGACAGCGCTGTCTTGCCCCATTAAATCCCCTCATCCCACCTCAGTCTCCAAAGTCGGCCATTTGCTTTTTCCCTCTGCTGCTAATTCAGGGATGCCCAGATTTTTTTCCCTGTTTGAGAACAGTGGGAAGGAAGCCAGCCATCTGGCTAGAGGCCACCATCATCTCTGCAAGAGAGGTCTTTCCTTGAATGGAGGCCTTATCGGCTCCATCGCTGACTTGTGACGTGCCGCAGCTTCTTCTGAGAGGGAAAACGCAAGGAAATGGGGAAGAAAGAGGCCCACTGGAGCAATGGCCCTCCCGATATTTGTTTTCCAGAGAGTCTCTTATTGTATGGTTTTCCTGCCATTTTGAAGCAGGAAATACGTTTAATACTCTACGTTAAGTATCCAGGTAGCTTGAGTGTTTAGCCATTTTGGAAAGAAAGTCCTCCAAATGCCTCCCTGCCCTATTCTCAGGAAATCAGAAGCTATAGCTTGTCCATGTATGTCATTTGCAACCCTTGGGCCCCTCACAGGTCTAAATAGCTGCCCATCCTTCCTGCTTTTAAAAGAAGCACTTATTGCTTCCCGTGAGGAGAATGGAGAACAATACTCATTCCCTCCACAGGTCTTACGCCTACATACAACCTCTCCAACAACATGGAAAACTTCATTTAGTTTTATTTTGCGCTTTTCACAGGAAAAAAACAAACTGTTGGTCACAACCCAGTTCTGCCTCATTTTACAACCTCTCGCCAAATGTGAAGTGAAACCGCAGCCATTAAGTCAGTCACACTGTTGCAGGCAGGGGTGGGATTCAAATTTTTAACAACCGGTTCTGTGGTCATGGCTTAGGTGGTGGGCGTGGCTTGGTGGTCATGTTATTGGCTGGACGTGGCCAACTCAATATCACTCACATCGAGTCACGCATCTCCTCGCCTGGCCTCATGACTGTGGGGATGCTGCAACAGTCGTAAGTGTGAAAAATGGTTATGTCACTTTTTTCAGTGCCATTGTAACTTTGAATGGTCCTTCCACACAAGCAAAGTACCAGCAAAGGAGGGAAAAAACCTCCAGAGAAGTTCCAGAGACAGGAAGTCTAGTCCTGCCAAGAATGTAATAAGGGTTAACAGAGAGGCAGTTTCTGTAAGCAATACCAGATTGTTTTCTTCCTGCCTTACAGGATTAGCCCAGTAATTTCTTCTAACAACCAGTTCTCCGAATTGCTTAGAATATTAACAACCAGTTCTAGCGAATAGGTGCAAACTGGTAGAATCCCACCCCTGGTTGCAGGGGTCGGTTGCTACCGGTTCACACCGGTTCGAGTGAACTGGGTGTTAATTTTACATTTGCTTTGCTCAACCGGTATTTGCAATGAAGGGCTGGCCCCACCCCTCTCAGGAGTCTCCACACGGCCCATTTTGGATCCCAGGTAAGTGCAGGGCTCGCGTGGAGGGGAGGGTGGAAAACGGGACCCTCCAGAGCCCGGGGAGGCCGTTTTCGCTCTCCCGGAGACTTGAGGAAAGCCTCTGGAGCCCGGGAAGGGCGAAAATGACCCTTCCGCTTGGGTACCGGAGGCCAACTAGGCCACACCCACCCAGCAACCGGGCCAAGAACCGGTTGCTAAATTTTTTTGAGGCCCACCCCTGTAGGGTTGTGAAGGGAATCTGGCTTCCCCCATGGATTTTGCTCGTCGCAAAAAGGGGAATCACATGGTCCCCGGGATACTGCAATCGTCCTAAATACGAGCCAGTTGCCAAAATATCCGAATTTTGATCCAGGGGATGCTGCAATGGTCATAAGTGTAAAAAATAGCCATAGGTCACTTTCTTGCAGTGCCGCTGTATCTTCGAATGGTCACTAGCTTAACATGTTATAAGTTGAGGGCTACCTGTGCTTTTTTTTTTTTTTTTTAAGAAAAAAAAGCGAAACTACTTCTTCCTCAAAATAATAAGTCCAGTTGCTTTTTCAAAAATTAAAAAAAAAAACCCACTTTTGATACAGCTATGACCTGGATGACTGAGAATCTTCGTAGACAATAGACAGTCCCCCTTGTTAATCTGAATAAAAAGACTTTGGGAAAAGTTCAAAGAGCAACCAGGATGATTAGGGGACTGGAGGGGAGGGTGGAAAACGGGAGCCTCCAGAGCCCGGGGAGGCCGCTAAAATATACGAAGAACGGTTTGCAGAAACTGGGCCTGGTTAGTCTAGTGAAGAGAAGGACCAGGAGAGCATCTTCCAATATTTGAGGGGCTGCCACAGAGAGGAGGAAGGGGTCAAGCTATTTTCCAAGGCACCCGAAGGCCAGACAAGGAATAATGGATGGAAACTGAACAAGGAGAGATTTAACCTGGAAATGAGAAATTTTTTGACAGTGAGAGCAATTAATCAGTGGAACCGAAGTTGCCCTCAGAAATTGTGGGAGCTTCATCACGTGAGACTTTCAAGAAGAGACTGGACTGCCATCTGTCAGAAATGGTGTAGGGTCTCCTGCTTGGGCAGGGGGTTGGACTAGAAGACCTCCAAGTTCCCTTCCAGCCCTATAATTTCTATTCTATTCTATTCTATTCTATTCTATTCTATTCTATTCTATTCTATTCCATTCTTATTCCATTCCATTCCATTCTTATTCCATTGCATTCTTTGCTGTTCTGATTCTATCCTATCCCATCCTTTCTCCATCCCATTTTAGATTGATGTATATACACTAGTTGTCTGGTCTAATGTATTTCCTATTTCTAAATGTTTACATGTTGACAAGCTTTGTAGAGGAATATATTCAGAGCCAATCCTGCTGACATGTTAACATATGTTTGAATGTTTTGCACTATTGTATGTTTAACCCTTAGCCTTCAATATTTTATGACTGAAGCTATAGATGTGCCTTTGTGTAATGCAGGTTTTTCCCCCAAAGTTGGCCACTTTAAGGTGTCTGAGCTTCAAACCCCCAGCATTCCCCAGCCAGCATTTAAGTCTGGACATCTTAAAAGTCATGTCTGGGGGAAAAAAACTGGTGTAATGCAAAAACCCAGGAGCTTAATTAATAAGGTTCTTTGATCCTGACCACGCTACACATATATTCATTTAGAAAAATTAGACTGCTTCAGTCTGTAGTCATTTCATGGAGCAGACTGAACATAGGGGTTGGGTGGGAAGATTTTGTATAAATTTATAGAAATAAACATTAAACAAAAATATACTGGTTTACTGCTTATTATTTTCCTGGATTTGTTCTTGAGAAGTTTGGCCTATTAGCAACATTCTTTAGAGGGCAGAAAAATGAGAAACAATAAACCAAAGATAAGGAAAAGTAGGATGCCTAAATCAAGTTTACACTAACAGAATTTATTATACTGGTATCTCACCATAGTTTTTCATTCCTCTCTACTTCAACTATGTTGATATATCTCTTCATACATTATTCTTTTAAGCATTTAAATTGTTTTGAGGCTATCATCAATACTACCCAACTACAACCTGCCTCATTTTACAATCTATTTTGCCACAGTTGTTAAGTGAACCATTGCAGTTAAGTTAGTAATGCACCACTTCTGAAGATATCTCAACTTTTCCAGGGAAGGGAGTACATTAGATGCTCTGTCATTGTTGAAGGCATTAAAGAATCTAATAAGAATGTGGGAAGCCATCCTCCCTCCTAGAAGAATGAAATATTTTGAGGAATATTTTAAAAAGAATATTAAAGGGAGAAATGAAGAAACATATTTTTTAGAGGCAGAAAGCAAACCCCACTTTCCTTAATAGCCCACAGCAGATGTCAGCACTTAAGAGATCAAGAGTTTATTGAAAACAAGATAGCTTTATTCATAGGCAAAGCAAATACTGCAGGCAGAAATCCACTCAAGACAGGATATTTTGAAACAAAGGCAGAATGGTAGGATTAGAAGCAGCCATCACCCAAGATCCAACCCAGGACAAAGCCATTAAGCCACAATAAGAATTATTGCATCACCCTCAGAGCAGTCCAAACTTCGACCAAACTTAGTTCATACCTAGGATTTTGTACTTTGCCTACAGAGCCAGCTATGACCCTTACATGACCCCATGGGATGCCAATAGAATGCATGTTCTTGCACAGGAACAGGAGGCTCTAGTGCAAAGTTTAGAGAAGGTATAAAACCCCCTCTCAGCTCCCATTTTGTCAGCTGCACCAGAACCATGTGCTTGGCGGTTCTGTTCATCATTAAGCTTTCTTTCCAATCAGCCTCCATGTCTTTCTCCCAGTTTGGAACTTGAACCAGATGGATATTTCTTCCCACAAGGGGATATCTTGTTGATGACCCCACTATGTCAAGGACCTTGGAGTACTCATCTCTAATCTAAATACCAGAGCCCACTGTAACTACATAGCCAAAAAGGCATCAAGAGTTATTAACCTAATCCTGCGTAGCTTTTTCTCCAGTAATATTGCACTACTAACTAGAGCATACAAAACCTTTGCTAGACCAATACTCGAATACAGCTCATCAATCTGGAACCCGCACTGCATATCGGATATTAATACAGTCGAGGGAGTCGAGAGATATTTCATGAGAAGAGTCCTCCACTCCTCTACTCGCAACAGAATACCTTATGCCACCAGACTTGAAATTTTAGGCTTAGACAACCTAGAACTATGCTGCCTTCAGTCCGACCTAAGTGTAGTACATAAAATTATCTATTGCAATGTCCTACCTGGCAATGACTACTTCAGCTTCAACCATAACAATACATAGGCACACAATAGATACAAACTCATGGTAAATTGCACCAAATTTGATTGCAGGAAATACGACTTCAGCAACAGTGTGGTCAATTGTCTGGAATACACTACCTTGGTTTCTTCCCCAAACCCCAAAAACGTTAACCTTAGACTGTCTACCGTTGACCTCACCCCTTTCCTAAGAGGTCTGTAAGGGGTGTGCATAAGTGCACCAACGTGCCTTCCCTACCCTTCCTGTCCTAATGTTCCTTTTTATGTATTCATATTCATGTTTATACTTATACCTGTTATCTAATACTTGCTTGACAAATAAATAAAAATCTCTGAAATGATAACCCAAAGGGGCATTGGGTTACCTAATTATTATTTGAATTATTTTGGAAGGCTGTGAGGATTAATTGTGATATCGTTATCCCGATTTAAGCTGTTTTTTAAAAAAAATTTCATGGTATCGTGAACATTTTGTTCCTGCAGCAAATCACTAAAAGTTATGAGATGAAGCAGCTATAAAAATAAACAGAAGATACTGCCAACAGGGCCCATGTTTATTCATTGTGCATTTATGCCATTAACAAAAGTTCTTTGTGGTGGCTGCAGAAAAGCCACACATTTTTAATTCCCATTTTTTTTTTGCAAACAGGCAACGCAATGCACGATGGGTGATATAGCATCCCTCTAGTCTAGTCAGGCCGGGCCCGGCCTCCTTCATCTGTTGCTATGGAGATGCGCTCCCCTCCTTTCGAACGGCTTTCCTCACTTGACAAAACACGACCACGTGACCCCTGTCCTCGGCTTTCCCACCCTTCACCTAGTTTCTGTCCATCACTATAAAGCTCCGTCCAATCGCGAAGGGCGTCTTATATATATCACTTTAGGCCCGCCCCTTAAGGAGCACGCCGACCAATGAGGAGCGGGATACGAGTTTGCTATCCATAGAGGCGGTGTTTCCAAATACACACGCAGACGTAGGAAGCACCACAGAAGACGGGACGTTTGGTTAGACCGATGTGCTTCGGGACCAATGAGTCCGCACTACCGTAAAGAGGAAGCCCGCCTTCCTCCCCGACGAGCCAATCAGCGGGCGGAGTGTCTCCGTCGCTCCTTCTTCTAATCGCCTCAGCCGTATTGGAAATAACAGGGCTTCGCCAAGAGGCGCGGGAGGTCCTGGAGTCGTTTCGCCGGTCCCGGAAAAAGCGAGCTGGAGGCTTTCAAAGAAGCCCCGGGGGCGGCCCCCGGGACCCTTCGGAGGCCTCGTCGTCACCCTTAACTCTTCCGAATCCGGCGGCGGCGGGGGGAGCGGGCTCAATGCGCACGCGCGAAGGCCTCTCCTGCTCCCGAGCCCTCCGGGCCGCCGCCGGGTCGCCGTCAACATGAGCCAAACCGCTGCCGTCCTGCCCCCGCCGGGTCCGACCTCCCGCTCCATGCATGTGGAGTTGCCGTCTCAGCAGGTCGGTGTTTGCTTGCGGGCCCGGAGGGAAAGTGGGAGGGAAAGGGTTAACCAGCCGCGGGAGCGAGCACGATTCCACGCGCATGCGCCGCTCCTCTTTAGCAGTCGTCCCATCCGGGTGTCTGGAATAGGATGAGAGTGAGCGAGTGGCCCAAGGGTACCCAGCTGACTTTCATACCTAATGCAGAACTAGAACTCACCATCACCTGGTGATTGGCCCA